AGCTTTCATTAAATCCCTCTTTCCGGTAAAGTACCAGGCATCAAGGCAACCGGCTGTGGATTTTTCATTCAGTCAGGTAACACAGAAGCCACCCACTCCACCCTCCTCCCCGTCCTCTCGGGGCAGGAGCCTTCTGGTCAATAACTCTAATAAGTTCAATTTCATGCACAGTTAGCCATGTTGGGGTACTGGGGTACAGCTCACGTCAGGGTTGCATATGTTGTTGTCGCTGTTGTTGTTTTGCTTTAATTTTTGATCTTCCCTAGGCTTGATAAGCGGGGTGGGGACTAGTACTGTGTAAAAGTGGAGACTAGCCAGGGCTTGCATGGTTGTTTTAACTCTCCCTCACCACAGTGGGCTGCCTGCCAAGCCATTAAAAGTCTCTGTGCTCTGCTTCAGTGACACAGCTAAAAGAACATAGAGCAGGCAAGAGGGATAGCTGTAAATGATCAACATGATAATGAGCTGATTATCAGTCAAAGGCATGGATAGGCTCTCTCTCCAGTAGTTTCCTTTCAGATCAGTCAACTACGTTTTCTTCACTGCAATCAACACTCAAAGGGGAGGCATAGCATGTAGCCCGATGGGAATCCTACCCAATATCAACTTCAAACATCTAGATACTCACCGTCTTCTGATCAGTGCCTGGCTCGTGCCTTCCTGACACACCAGCATGCTGGGAAGGCTTGTGTAGCACTACTTAAATCTACTTTTGTAATGGTTGTTTCACAGTTGTCATGCAGCTTTAGGCTCTGGCTACAGGACAATATAAAACTGACTGGTGCTCCGCCAATGTTCAAATGTACTGCACAGTCTGGAAGTATATGGATAGTGACTCATTTCCTGTTGTTCTGACTCAAATTCAGCATTAGATTTGAAATTTAACTGGATAAGGGTAAAATGCTGAGGCTCAGTTTTTTTAAAATCCCATTAAATCTTGCGAAAGTGTTGCTTCCTGGAAATAAGTATGTTATCATCGGTGAACACATCGTGCATGATTTTTTGAAAAATTCTGTTATTGCTTTTTCTAAATTAAACATTCTGATGGTCCTGCTGTCTTGAACAGTACAAAAAGTGCAACTAGAAGAGGACAGCATTTCCTCATTAGCTTGTTACTTTGCATCAATATTGTGCACATTCATCATTTACAGTTATGCAAATGAGCTTGAGGCGACAAAAAGATTACATAGTTAATATGAGGGCCAGTAACTTTGATGATGGCTTTTCATTACAAATTCCCACATTAAGATTCATTTTTTAGTTATATTTAGGGGATTTTTGGTGGAAG